GTGGGGGGGGGGGGAAGAGAAGATGACCAGGGAAGAGAAGATGGCCAGGACGTGCTGATTAGATCCAAGAGAAGAAGAAAATAATAATAATAATAAAGGGGATCTGTAATCTGTATTAGATGACTCTTTTTCTTTTCTCGAATTGTAATAGCTTGTTTAGGTTCCCTCGATAGGTCAATCCTTGAACTGATAAGAGGAAGAGCTGATATCTCACCTTATTGAGATATCTTGCTTTTGGTTCTTGTTTCCTTAGTAAAACAAGAATTCTTGTTGATCTAACTCTCTTGTTGTGTTGCCGAAGTGCTGCCGGAATTTTCGCTGCGCACCATAAGAATACAAGTTGAATCGATGACGGAGGCTGATAAAAATCCGATGGAGGAGATCATCAAGAAGTTGAATCCTGATGAGATCTCAACACTGATGCAACTGATGAGGTTGTCGAAGGGAGAGGGCTCGAAGAACATGGAGCCAATCCGGATAAGTGGACAGGTGGACTTACAGAGGAGAAGTCCACTGATGGTATCCAATCCGGATAAAACTGAATTCAGAGGGGAGACTAGGCAGTGCTTCAACTACGGAGAGGTAGGACATCTGAGACAGATGTGCACTAAGCCACCCAGGGAGAGGAACTGGGGTGAACATGGTCAGGCTGGAGGCCGTGGCCGTGGCCGTGGAAGCACGCGAGGTGGAAGAGGAGGCCACCGGGCAAACTTGACAGTGACAGAAAGGGAAGAAGAAGCTGAGATGATCTTCACTGATGAGGATCGGGCACTCTTGGCAGCACTGAGGAGGAAGCAAAGAGTAGTAGGTGATGTGTCTGAGGGGTCATCCACTACTCTCTCTGGAGGGGACTATGCCAATTACGCCCTTGTGCACACTCAAACGAGGAAAGATCCACCGCCTGGATAATGGATTCTGGAGCATCCAGACATGTGACAAGCAATGCCAATGATTTTTTATCTTACACGCACTTAACAGAAGCAGAGAGCATCCAGATCGCTGATGATACAGCACAGTTGGGGGTTGCGGAGTTAATATGGCTGAAGAACATGCTAGTGGAGCTGAACCTTGACCAAGGGGCCAAGATGAGTTTGTGGTGCGACAACAAGTCAACTATCAGTATCGCCAACAACCCAGTTCAGCATGACAGAACTAAGCACATTAAGATTGATAGATTCTTCATCAAGGAGAAGCTGAACAGTGGGTTACTGGAGTTAGGTCATGTTCCAACTAAGGAGCAAGCTGCAGACTGCTTGACTAAAGGGCTTAGCTCAGTAGATCTAGCTAGAGGGTGTGACAAGATGGGTTTAATAGATATCTTTCGCTCATCTTGAGGAGGAGTGTTGAAAAGATAATGTAATTAAAGAATATTAGAGGGGTTTTGTGTAAATGTGGGTGTAAGGCTATATAAGCCAATTTATTCTATCAGTGAGAATATGATCTTAAACCCTAATCTTTCAATATTTAATATGGGAGTAATAATTAATAAACTAAGAATTGAAAACGATATCATGGATACGTGAAGCTCAAAACCATGTATCCAAAAAACATCTCATCCAGTTTAGCTCTTTTCATTCATTTAAATCCTCTAAGCAAGATGCAACAATATTCTGCAATGTCAGGATACAGAACTCTAACAGTCCAAATTTCAGGAACTTCAGATCTCAGTGTGAATATAGCAAAAAATGATACTTTAGTCTTAACCCACATGTTACAGTATTGGGCACTGTCAGGATATGAAACTCTAAAACCCAAATTCAAGAAACTTCAGAAGTCATTTAGCTGTATGAATGTAGCAAAAAAAATGTTACTGTAGTCTTAACCATATTTTTTGAACCTATAACCACCATCAATGCAAACCAGAAGCTGAAGTTGTTTTACCCCATTGCAAAATCATAGTCAGTCTACTTGTAAAAGGATATCCTTTTTCAAAGAACGATCCTGTCAAGATCCCTAAGAACCTGTTCCTCTTCCTCAGGGGTGAGCTCATTGTCTTCTTTGATCATGCTGAGAAGTTCATCAATAGGTTTCCCACTCGTCTTAGCAGCTAAAGTTTCACCGAGCAAATCAACTAATCCTTTAATCTTGAGAGAAATTGCAGCCTATACAAAGGAGGACAGCAACAGGTGGGATGCACTCTAATAAGTCCCTTTTAAACCACAATAAGAGATCAACTTTCTCAAGCTCAAAGATGGTGAACCATATGCACGTACAAGATCTAAATTGTCCTTCACAACTATTTGAGCATGTTTGAGTACTTATCAAGACGTGCATGATACATTGGTTAAGATGAAAAGCCAGAAAAACATAAAATGCCCTGTACTGGACACTATGGAGCTTTACTTCTCTTTAGGGGGGGAAAAGAACCACTAGTTCAGGCACCACTTCTTCATAGGTTTTCTTCATTTGTGTTGTTTAGCAATGAACAACGATGTATGGAAAAGAAGTTAAAATACGTCCTGAACAAATGTCAGGGAAAATTGAGCTGCGATTCTTGCACAGAAAAGCATCAAGTTTAGAGACCAGTTCACATGTAAAACTAAAGCTTTTGATAGACAACATGTTGGAGGGAATAATAATAAGATATGTATGTGTAAATCTTATTCTGCTGCCTACACGCCAAGAGACCGTTCTGCCTCATGACTTTGTTTGTTTCAGTTCCCCACCCATAGGCAGCCCACTTTGTCATGCATGCAAGTGAAGATTAGATCCAAGCTAGCAGAAATGAATGTTAGGCAACCTGACCCTTATGTAGGCAACCTGAACCTTATACCACTAAAGAATGGAAGTAACATTTAATTTATCAAATTATAACGCTCGTATTGTTTCCTCCTAATCCCCGCATGTCATGAAAAAAAAAGTTTAAGTTGTAAAATATAAATTAGGCTAATTGCACTTTAATACCCTAAAGTTCACTGTTTTTTACTGAGACCGTGGAGTTTAAATAGTCCAAGTGATGCCTAAAGTTTTTTTAAACTGGAGTTAACCCTACTAAGTTAACTAGGACTCAACTGCAGGTAGGAGGCTAATGGTTCCGCTGCAGCCAGCAATGTGCTGGTACCTGAAAAATAAAACTGGATTTGTCAAGCAAGCAAAAGATGACACAAAAGAAAAAGAATCAAACACAACTACCAGGAGTCAGGACTAGTGGCCTAGAGGGGAAAATTTACATTAATACCTATTTTATTGTTAATGCTTTATATTTTATTTGTGATATTGTGTTTTCTTCCTAATTTTCATCAAATCCCCAAAGTACAGTTCCTAAATTAGATTAAATAAACGTTTAATGCTTTTGTTGAAATATCAACAGAATTATTAATTTTTTATTTTCTGAGTTACAATATGGAATTTGTGGTAATATGAGTATGTATTAGAAATTATCTTCACTGAAAAATCAAGAAAAACAGCTTAAAATCAAGATAACAGAAGATCCAAAGTGAATGATAAAGTTTTCACCAAATTTCATTACTTCGATTTTGGACAGATGAAACTATACATTAAGATTTATGTTTTTAAATGATTCTATGTTAAATAAGGGGTATAAAGTCAAAAAGCATTGACTGGTGACTTTTAAACAGAATCCTCACTGATCATGTAATGGGTAGTGTAGAATAGGTAAACTTCGGGAACATCTCGCCAAATTTAAACTTCAGGTATCAAACTCAAAAATTGGGTGAAACTTTAGGGAATTACAGTACAAGTAACCATATGAATTAAGTAAATAACGTAAAACGTGGATAAAATGTCCTGCTTGAAATGTACTGATTGAAATGTCCGGCAAGTCCTATGTGACTGTATTAATAATACTCATTAATGACAAAACTTGTAATAAAAATGCACATATCCTCAAACCGTACTTAAGATGAAAATTTCATCTACTTTTGTAATCAGCTCATTCTACACACTCGATTCAACTTTTCTTAGAGATATAGGTGCTATCGTTGGTATGCCAAGAACACTCTCCCTAATTGCTCCCTCTCATATTATCGGTTTATCCAGCCATTCAAGGACCTTACCACAGGTATAATCAATTTTCAGATCATATTGAGGAGTGCATAAATCTCTTTGCAAAGTGGAAAGGGTCAAAAACGTGATTTATCCTGAAGTGACAGTAACTCCAACCAATTTTAAACGTGTAAAAGAAAAAATCTGTTACTTCCCATATGCATCCTATAAGCTTATACCAAAATTAATCAGCAATCACATTGTTTCTTTAAAACAGATCATACGGGTACGCAATCAGACCTTTACTAACAATGCAATTTGTCTTCTGTACTTAAGGATGTAACGCATTTATTATTGATAATAATTAAAGATCTAAGACACATATTATTTTAATAAACATAATTCTTAGTTACTCATAATGCTCTCATATTTGAATATTCTCCTCGAGGTCCAAGAATTCTCTGGACCTATCAAGGAGATGGAGTTGAACATACATATAATTCTTTGAAAGTAAAAAAGTCAAACTTTTATACACCAAGATTAATCAGCAATCAAATTGCTTCTCAGATCACAGCAAACAGATTGTATGAATACTCAATCTGACCTCTACTAACACTGTGCCTTCTCATTATTCCGTATTTGAATATGTAAAGCGTATATTATTGATAATAATTAAATTTGTAAGACTTGAATGTCACTTTAATAGACAATATAACTTTTAGTTCTTGATAATGTTCCCATATTTGAATTTCTCCTTGAGGTCCAAGAATTCCCTGACATTTGTCCAAATTTCAACCTATCAAGAATTCAATTTTCAACATATATATATTTCTTTTTGCAAAGTAGAAATATCAGACTCTCATATTTATCTTCAAGTGACCACAAATCCAAATCAATTTTCAACATGTAAGACTCAAACATATAACATTTACCAACGACGTATCTTCTCATAATCCCATGTTTAAAGATGCTAAGCATTTACTATTGATAATAATTAAAGGTGTAAGACTCAAATATTCCTTTAACAAACAATATAACTCTTTGTTGTTGATAATTCTTTCATATTCAAATTTTCTCCTTCAGGTTCAAGAATTCCTTGCTATTTGTCCAAATTTCAACTTATCAAGAATCCATATTTCAACATACATGTATTTCAAAAGGTCGAAGCCTCATGTCTATCTTGAAGTAACCACAGATCGTAATCAATTATTCTCTCCCAAAAAAAATCCCAATCAATTTTAAATATGCTATAAACGTTTATGTACCAAGATAGTCAGTAATCAAATCGTTTCTCAGAACGCTGAGACACTCAGTGACTTAGATCTGACTTCTCGTAACAATTTACCTTTTAAAGAATGTATTAGCGATTTAAGTTAAATACTTCCTTAATAAACATATAATTCCTAATACTTGATAATGATCTCAAGATCCTTCACCCTCTTAATTATAGATGACCAATTCAGATCCAAGAACACTCAGATCTGACCTAATAAGTCTGTCTTAACGGTGTATGTTCTAAATACGTTCTTAAGAAACAATATAATTCTTAGTTCTTGATAATGATCTTAAGATCAAGAAACTTTCTAGCCTGTTTCCTCAAAACTCAACTAACAAAAAACCGAAAGCAAACATATCACTTTTCCCAGATCCAGATTCAATCAAAAGAATCTAACAAGGAAAAGTAATGCGAAGAAAGCTCACCTGAAACATGAAGAAACGTTTAGCAAAATCCAAGGTTTGGGAGAACTCATCATCAAAGTTCTGTTTCATCCTCTGTTTCACCACTTCGGATGGCCAAGACGCCAAAAGAGAGTGCGCGTCACAGTATACTCTGACTCTTATCAGGGTTTTTTCCTTGACATCGACGGGGATTGCATCGCCGACGAATCCCTCCTCGATCTGACGGTGGAGGACCTCCGACAGCTCGGCCGCCTCCTTCTTCATCTCGACAAGCTTGTTGTCCTTGGTCCTCAGCATCACCGTCCTGTTCTCGCTTTCATTTCTTTTTCTCTTTCTCGCCTCCGGCGTCGTCGCCTCTGGTGATTTCGTCCCTGATGTTGTGGCCGCTTCTGTCATCTCCACCGGTGTTGCTTCCGCCCGATGCTGTCTCCCCGACCGATGCTTTTGTCGCCGCTGTTGTCGCCGCCGGTTGTGCCGACGCTGGTGATGACATCTCCGGCATCTCTGCCGCTAATGGCCGGAGATGGTTGATCATTTTCGCCGGAAGGCGCCGAAGATGAAGACGCCATTTGATCTGAGGAGAGAGCGGAAGTGGAGCCCTAGCGATGAGAGGCAGGAGCCGAGGAAAAGGGCGGGAAATATTGGGGATTCTTTTTTGGAGAGAGAAAATTGGAGATATTTATAGATCGACGGGTACGGATGCTTCTAGAATTCTTGATTCTAAAGACTGATTAATAGATAGATTAAAGATTAATTAAGCCGTTAAACTGGTCTGGATAGATAGCGTGAATGATCATAACCCGAACCAACTTTTAGTCCGGATCCAATAATTTTATCTGATAGCACACGAATTGTATATTCATACCTATAGGTTTTCTTCTAAGTTCAAACAAACACCAGTATTAAGTCGATAATCTCACAGATTAATTATTTTGATTTCTTTAGTTTGTTAATTTATGTTGGTTTATGCGTTAAGCTACATATTGTAATAATACAAATGATTAATTATATTTCTTTGTAGACTAGCTATCATCTATTAATTATGATAATACTTTATGAAGAAAGATAATAAGTATCGCCTTTTGCTATATTATGAGAAAAAAAGAGAATAGAGTTTTTCATCAGTTAAAGTGATAGTTTGAGTGATAAGACTTTTGTTAGATAAATTACAGTCTTAAATTTGAAATTAAAAATTAGATAGCTTAACCATCAATGTCCTTTACGAACCTAAATAATAATTTACAATTTTAAAAAACTAAAAATTGTTATTCAAAATGCTAAGATTTCAATCAATGCTCAAACTTGGTTCACCTGAGATTGGGAGATAGAGACACGAATGATATTTGGATTTTTCTCTTGTCTCAAGAAAATGGAAAGTAGGAAATTCCACCAATAGTTCGCCTAAGTTGTAAAATTTTCAAATGACTGTTTGTAAAAATTTCAGGTGGATATTTATGATTTTTAAAACTTTCAAGGGATTAGTTGCAAAGTTTTTTAGAGGTTTATTTATAAAACTTTAGGGTATAATTAAAATTTTTTGAACTTTTCGAAGAATTGTTCATAATTTTTATTTTTTCTAAGGATTGTTTGTAAATTATGGCTTTTAAAGTAGGCATTTTATAATTTTATGCAATTTAGTGCTATTTTTAAATCTCAAATTTCTCATGGGTTTATTTATAATTTTTTACTCTTAAGGGGTTGTTTGCACCTTTCATAAGGCTGTTTATAGTTTTTAGATAATTTTGTAGGGTGTTCGTAATTTTTAGAACTTTCAAGAGGTCATTTGTAAAATTTTTTTAGGGAGTTGTAATATTTCAAAACATTTAGTAGGTTATTTGTTATTTTCACAACTTTCTTGAGGCTAGTTGTAAAATATTCAAAACTGTAGTAATAATCCTTTTTTTAGATACCAATCAATTAATTTGGAGGCTCACATGATGTTGGAATTGAGAAAAAACAAACAAAACAAAGTTCTTAAATGCCCATTAGTGTTGTACGTTCACCCGGGGAGAAATCCACTATCAACCGGGTTTTCTACGTTCACCCGAACAACGTTTACACCTCACACTCGGTTTTCTAGCTAACCGAAAACTTTACAATCAACACACTATTGTAATCCCACTCTACACCCACTAAGTGTTGGACCTAGCCGTATCTCCCTCAAGTGCTCGGTTACAACCTCTCCCTCGGCTCGTCAACCGACGCCACTCCTCTTGGGACGATCCCCGACTCTCACCACACACTCCTCACTTGGTGTACAAGTATATTACAAAGTGAATCTCTCAATAAGCACACTATAACAAATGATTGTCTCTCTAACAAGGTGAGAACTCAATTAAGCACAGCTCAAAGTTACAATCTCTCACCACCCAACTATACTATGTATGAAAGATACAATAAGCTCAATGTGGGTGTGTGTAACAGTGAGTAAATAAAAACTTAACTCAATAAGAACTAGCAAAAATATTGATATGAAATACAATAGTAGAAATGCTAGGAAATAGAGTTAAGAAAACTTCTCTAAAACACAAAGGGAGGATGATGAAATGTTGAAGATGAACTCTTCAATAGTTGATATAAACTCCTCTTTGTAACAGCAAACCCAAAACAAACTTAAACCAAAACTAAACAGGTTTAAACCCTTGTTTTAAAACTTGTTAAAACATTCTCTTTTTTTTTTAAAAAAAAAGAGATCAGCAATGGGTATTTATACCCACTTGAAATCTCAGCAAAAACCCCAAACCAAATGACAAAACAGCCCCAGAGAAATCAGCTCAGAAATAGCCGTTAGGAGCCAACGGCTCTTTTGTCGGTCGACCGAAAATCTCGTCGGTCGACCGATGGAGCGAAAAAGCACATAAAAACGTTCTGGACCATCGTCGGTCGGCCGGTGCGGTCGACCGATGGAGCTTTCGGTCGACCGGACCGATCGACCGACAGACTCTCTGTCGCCCAGTGAGAAATGATCAACTGATCGAAAACTGACATATATAAAAGCTGATTTGCTGATTTTAAAACCCTGTTTAAAAAAATCAAATAAATTCCAAAAAATGTAAAACTTTGGGGAATGATTGTAGACATGATAATAAACATGATACATCAACTGGTTATCAGAAAGGACTTCCCAAATGAAAAATATCATCATTTTACAAACTAGTCCAAAACATGAAAATATGAGATACTTGAATTTTGATGTTTTGACATAAACCAACTTTTGAAACTTTGTGAAATGTTTTTATAGACTTAGTAAAACATGTATAAACTGATATTGAAGTCTATAAACTAAGAATACAATATTTTCACAAAATTGCATATTCTATGCAATGTTTTCAAAAACACAATAGAAAATATGAAATATATAATTTCATATATATAATCATAAAAACTCAAAACACATATATATCACTATATATATATATATGAAAACCAACATAATGTGTGTGTATAGATATTGAGCTTAACGTACTTAACACACATAATATAAATCCTAAACTAAGTTACCCAAGCTTGATTGGTCTTCAATAAGCTCTACTTGGTAATCTCGCGGATGAAGCATGAACTTGATCTTTAACTTTGAATTGTACGTTGCTTCACTCTACAATTCCGCCAACCTCCTCTTGATATGATCGTTATGGCGCAATCCATCCATCCTCCAACATATTGTTTGCCTAGAATCAATATAAAACACAAACACTAGACAAACAATATTAGATGTAAATTGTTTGTAAATCATCATCAAAATAAGAAGGCCAACACAGATTTGGTTCTAAACAGTCATAAATATCTCGTAGTTCTGAAACACTTGTGACTGTCTCGCACTTCCGAGACAGTTTGTGTTGTCTTAGGTATTTTGGCTCTAACTCCCTCGTTCGATATCGGAATGAGATGATCCAAGATGCGTTGGAAATCTAACGAAGAGATCTACAACTTTTATCTTTTGAGCTTCTTAAGATTTTGTGCAAGACAGTCATAACTATCTCGTAGTTCCGAGACAGATGCGACTGTCTTGCACTTCCGAGACAGTTTGTATTGTCTCAGGTATTTTAGCTCTAACTCCCTCGTCCGATATCGGAATGAGATGATCCAAATGCGTTGAAAAGCTGACGGGGAGGTCTACAATTTTTGTATTTTGAGCTTTCTCAGATTTGGTGCGAGACAGTCATAACTGTCTCGTAGTTCCGAGACAGTTGCGACTGTGTCGCACTTCCGAGATAGTTTGTGTTATCTCGGGTATTTTAGCTCTAACTTCCTCGTTCGATATCGGAATGAGATGATCCAAGATACGTTGAAAAGATGACAAAGAGAACTACAACTTTTATCTTTTGAGCTTCTTCAGATTTGGTGCGAGACAGTCATAACTGTCTCGCAGTTACGAGACAGTTGCGACTGTCTCGCACTTCCGAGACAGTTTGTGTTGTCTTGGGTATTTTGGCTCCAACTCTCTCGTCCGATATCAGAATAAGATGATCCAAGATACGTTGGAAATCTTGCAAAGAGCTCTATAACCTCCCATAGACAATACACTCATGGAGTGGGCAAAACACACATGGTACTTCGCCCTTTTGTGGGCGAAGCACAACTCTCGGTTGAGTTGTTCCTTTATCGTTTAGCGTGTTTTACAGACTCGTACGCTTCGCCGACTTACTTCATGTGCTTTTTAGCTTATCTACGGTATCAGATGATCTTCTTTGACTCAGATAATCCTCATTGACTCGGATAGTAACATTCATCGTCTTTTTTTCATCTCGAGCTATGTGCAAGAACCTATAGGCAATTTTTTTATGTCTACAGATACCCCCTTCAAAGTGTTTTAGTCTCATTCTTTTATAAAAGAAGCTGGAATATTTTGGATATGATATGCCTGGCCGTTAATTCATTGACTTCTTCAACTTTTAGTCTATTCAGTTTTTTTGTCGGATAGCTGAAATTTTTCTGGTGTTGCGTTTATCGCTTGACTGTTGTCAAAATCTTGAACTGAACCTGGCATGTTAATTTTTGAATTAGCTCGTGTCGTTTGATTTACGTTGAACTAATCACCTTCGTGGGGAGTTTGTATCTGAGTCACGATTGAACTCCCTGAATTAATTCCTTGAACCGACGTTTCATCCTGAGCCTTATTTCGGCGGAATTATCGACGCGTTGGCTGGAGTAGACTTTCGTTGCAACGCGTTGACTGGCGTTGGGATATGGCAAGCCCAAGTGTAGAGACTGTAAGACCAATTGTTGATGTCGGTTCATCTGCCTGTACGGAGTTTCTCCTGGCATGGACCATTATACATTTGTTGGTTTTTTACTTAAACACAGTGGGATTTTGATTGTAGGACCAGCCATTGGAGCTGATACGACCAAAATCACTAGAGAGACTTTTTCGATGCTGTCTTGTGTGCGCGAGACAGTATACCCTACCTCGTGTGTCTGAGATGGGTTCAATTGTCCCGCTTGAAGAAAGGTGGCCTTCGAGCTGAATTTGTGTCTTCCTTGAGTTTGGCAGAGTTTAAACTTTATTATGATTGTTTATCCTACTCAGAATAAATACTTATAGGATTTTTGGCAAATCCTCAGTCATCAACGGATTTGATAAGCCTTTACCGATTACCGTTTGACTCGGGCTAGCATGCAGATTGTTTAAGTCTGGTCTGCATGTAACGTTGTGCTAAGAGAATAAACTC